TTATGTTTGATGGTGTGTCAATACAGAGAGTTAGTTGGGTTTATCTGATAGCCTGGCAGAAGGAGAGAGAAGCAGGACAAACTGTTTTCAGTAACTGTGCTGTTCAGACACCTGATAAGATGGAGAGTGCTTTGGAACTACTGATGTGCTTTGAATAAGAAAAGAATAATCAGGTCCATTGGCACTGGCTTATCAGGAAGGAAGTGAAATGCCAGCACTTTTACATGAGCAAAAGGAAAGGTTTTAGACACTTTGGGCCATTTTTCCACTGAAATTAAATAGCAGGGTGCTTTTGAGTGTGCTGTAATGAATGGAAGGATTTATTACCCTGACAGAATTACAGGGGAATGTGTTTAGAGAGGAGTTCACAGCAACAATAAGAGCTCTTTGGATAAGTGGCCACATCTATTCCTGCTTTTGGTAGATTCAGGAATTCTCTCCTTTCTTTCTCCCTGAAGTACAGTGGCTCACTTACAATGTGCAGTTTTTCAGAGTGTCACACACTTGTGCATTTTGTAATATCCTGGCAGCATGTTTGATATTGGGTGTGTAACAGGCTGTTCATAAAATAATGCTGGATCATTGACTGGTGTGTCCTCTGCCTTCAGTCCCTGGGTATTTTCATGTTCCAAAAAGAATATATCTCAGCCTGTGCTGGGAAGGGAAGGTGGGATTCACCATTAACTTACCCCAGCAGGCAGGAAACATGCTCAGATGCACTATTATCTTCTCAAAGTTTACTCATTTTTATTTCTGTACCTTTTCAAAATTTATTTCTAGGTTCTTTCACGTGCTTACAATTAATTTTGGGATATTCAAATTCAGTGAATGACAGTGCAAGAACATATTTGATTGATTTTGGATTCTAATTGATTCCTGTCAATGAGATCCCTGTGACACTCTGAAATCAATGATATGTGATTCAACCAAGGCACCACTGTTCTGTACATCAGGTAGCAGTTGGGAATTTAGGAACTAAATGTTCACAAGCTATAAATGGAGAAAACGTTTAGATTTAAATAGGCCTTTGTTTGGCATTTATTCACCCAAACATGTTTCTTGGGAAAGTTAGTTTTCCAAAGTGCAGGCTTTCAGTAAAAGGAAGGTCATTAAGGTTTATTAAATTTTAGCTAAAAACAACAGGCTCCATTTGGATGTAAAATACTTTAAGTATTTACTGCAGGCAACCATCATGCTTTAGGGCTGTTGCTCAAAGGTTTCATTCTTCTATGAAGATGTCAACTGTAAATATAAAAATGCCTCACTGAAAATGTAATGGTTCAAAGATTCTAACTGAAATAAAAATTCCTGCCTGGGGAAAGCACTATAATCAAAAGAAAGTGGTCTTCACTTTTTTTTTCCTGTGGAGGCTGCACTTGAAAAGAGTGCTTCAAGGCAGCAGGGTTGGTAGGGAATGTGAATTTTTATTCATTTATTTATCTACTCTTCCCTACAGATGATGATAGTCTGGCTTTGGAATCAGCAACACACTTCAGCCACTAATACAAGGCAATATGTGAGCTGCTGTCGCTTCCAAAATGCAGTATCCTGGTATTTCAGTCAACTTTATAATCTGGCAAAAACCCACTTGGAAAGATTAAAATCTAGCTTCTGAAGCACTTTTATTTCTGAAAGCTTTTGATGTCTTTTTATATCTCTTTAGCATATATTAAATTTCTTGGGAGCAGTGGCCAGGATGCACACTTGATGGATGACTGGGGTGGGGAGTCTCCCCCCACCCCCTGCTTTTTTTTTTTTTTCCTCCCCTTTAAATTTAAAAAGAGGTGTGATAATTGTGCATTAGGTAAGGCTGGAACATGAATCCTGCAGATGCAGCTGTTTGACAACATTAAAGTGGGGGGTTTGTGCCATTGTTAGGTAAGTTAGCAGAGATTTTCCAAGCTAAGAAGGACAGCCTGCTGCCAAGCTCAGGCATCTGTCTTTAAAAACCTTTTGCTTCGAGGATGCCCTGAGGAAAATGAGGACTGGATGCTTTTCTGAAGGCACAAAGGGCCTGTTTTCTCTTCCATAGCATTCACAATGGGACTCCTTGTTCCAGCCTGCCTGCTCAGGGTTTTGTGGTGCTGGGTTAGGGTTTTCATGTGTTTTTTCTCCTGGGATAAAGTTGTGTACAGTGAATATTTATTATTCATCCCATGTCTGGGTCACTGTCTACATCTTGAATTTAACTCAGAGCCTGTGTAAATGAGGAATGCATTGAAACAAAGTCAAGGATCCTTCAGTGACTTGTTTCTGTGAGTTCACTCTTCTGAGACCTCTGATGAGTCTGGCAGGGCAGTGCCTGTGTGCAGAGGGGCAGGGAAAGAGAGTCCCAGCACAGCAGCAGTGCCAGGGAGCAGCAGCATTTGGCCTGTTGAGAGCTGCTCTTTTTCTCCTGCCCCCCTCCCCTTCTGGGCCTGGGCTGAGGCCTCAGTGCTCTGGGCCTTGGTCCCTGGGCTGGGTTGGGTCAGTCCTGTGGCCATGGCCCTGCTGGCATGAGCTGGGCTCCACTGCACTCTTTCCACCACACAAGGGGCTCCATTTGCTCCGGGCACAGCCTGAAGCCTCAGCTCTTCTTCTCCAGGGCTCTCAAGAAGAAGGCCAAGGAGCAGACTCTCCAGAGGGTCCTTGCCTTGCTGGTTTCTCCCTGGAGTCCGTGTGCTGCCCTCAGGGTGCCACTGTGGGGGCTGAGGGGCTGAGGCTGCTCCAGCTGGTGCTGGTGCTGGCCAGTGCCCCTGGAGATGGCAAATGGGGCCTGAGGAGCCCGGGGCCGATTCTCTGCTGCTGTGCTGGGGAGCGGGGCTGGCCCTGGGGCTGCAGGAGCTGCCTGAGCTGATGATGTGCTGAGCATTGCAGACCCAGAGGGCCTGTCCCTGAGCTCCATGGCCTCCATGGCCTGCTGCAGGGCCAGCCCTGAGTGTGCTGCTCTGCTGGGCTGGGGCAGGGGCAGGGAGATGGGGGGACCAGGGAGGGGCTGGACTGGGCAGTGCCAGGGAGGGGAAAACCCCAATGTTGAGCTGAAGGGTGTGAGTGGGCAGGGTGGGGGTTCTGCCACCACTTGGGCACCTCTGGAGTCAGCGTTTCCTTTGGCAGCACAACTTATCTCAGACAAGATAGTTTTCCAGTGTTGGCTTTTCCCCCTCTTTCCCAAGGTTTTCTCTTTTGTTTTTGTTCCCCTGAGGGGAAAAGGGGGAAGGGAAGCACATGCTGATCTCTGCTTTTATCTGTATACAAAAGGGAGGTGGGGTGGGGAGGGAGGGGGGAAACAAAGCGATTTCTCTCTTTATTATCTCTCTTTTATCCCATTCCCGCCTCCCTCGCCACACCCCGGGCGACTGTTTCACCGCCGCCCCTCCTCGCCCGTCCCGCGGGGCAGCTCTTTGAGCTCCGGGGCGGCGGAGACTCCCCCGGCGCGGCCCTTTGGTTTTCCTTGGTTTATTCTCCGGAGCTGATTCCGTTCCGAGCTCGCCCCCCCTCTCTGGCGACCCCCGCCAGGGCCCGTCCCGGGGCGGCTCCTTCAGTGCCACGGGCAGCGGGGACCCCTCGGGGCGGCTCCCCCAGGGCCCCGCCCGCCGCCGCCGCTCCCCGGGGCCCTCCCCGCTTCCTGCCGGGATCGGACACCGCCGGCGGCCCCGGCCCTGCCGGGCTCCATCAGCCTCAGCAATTGCTGCCAAGGAGGGGCCGGGGGCTTCCTCTTGGCCTTCGTCTCCCTGGCGCTGGGGCTCGGCTTCTACCTGCGCCAGAAGGTGAGGGGGGTCCCAGGGGGTCGTGTGTCCCCCCAGAGCGTCTGTGCCCCCCCGGGGACCCCCACCCCGGTGTCACCCCCTTTTCTCTCCCCACAGAGCTCCTGAGCCGCCGGCGGCCGCAGCCCCTCCCCGGGGCCTCGGGCCCAGCCTGGACCCCTCCTGTCCCTGTGAGGATTTTGGGGGGGTCGTGTGTCCCCCCCTCCCCTGCTGCCACTCCTGATCCCAGGAAAGCTTCCCAGTTCTCCCCAGTCCCGGTTATTGGGGGGCAGTGGGGGGGGACCCCGAGAGGTGGAGCCGAGTTCGGGGGGGGCAGAACTGGCCCCAGGATGGATTGGGAATGGGGACCCCCCTGTGATTTCCCCTCTCAGTAGGCACCCAGCACACCCCAAAATGTGCCAGGATACCCTGAAAGCTTCCCCAGAGCTCCCTAAGGACCCCCAAACACACTCAAAGCCCATCCAGGACCCAACCCAGCCTTTTTTCTGGGGGGACTTCTCTGGGCACTGGTGGTGCTGGGAGCCCCCCCTGGCTGCAGGTGAGGAGCTCTCGGGTGAACAGGGGTTGAGAAGAGGGAGGTCACTGGGAAAAGCAGGGGTCAGAGGGGATAAAGGGGTGGTGGGATCTGAAACTGAGCATGAGAGGGCGGGGGACTGGAGAAATGATATGGAATTGGTGAGAGAGGGGGAAAAAAGTAGGGGTTAGGACCCCTAAACTGATCGGGGGGGGGCTGGGGATGAGGGGACCATGAAAAGGTGGAAAGAACAGGTAGAAGGGTGGAAAAGGGGGGGTGGTCTGGTGGGTCTGACAGTCCCATGGGGGTGTTTGGGCAAAGAGGAATTACAGAGCTGTGACTCAACAACTTTTGTGTCCCAAGTTTTAATGATGGAAAATCAGATCTATTGATATAAATGAATTGTTTAGGGTTCCAAATGATCAGACAAAAGATCTTCATCAGAATTATTTACTGCACAATATACATACTGAAACTACCAGAAGTACAGGATAAGATGGGACAGTGCTCTACACTAAAGCAATTGTGAAAGCAATTCTACTCAAGTTAGCACAAAAGCAATAATTCTTAATTAGAGATGAATGGAACTCCCCCAGAACAATGCTTGGGGGGAGATCTCTGCTCCCAGTCTCGAAGAGGGACACTTGAAGGGCCCTCTTGTAGGGCCTCTCCCCGCTGTGGATGCGCCGGTGGTGGAGTTCCAGTTGAATCCCTTCCCACAGTAGGTGCAGTGGAAGGCCCACTCCCCTGTGTGTGTCGGCTTGTGCTTCAGGAGATCGTAGCTGGTCTGAAACCCCTTGACACATTCCCCACACTTGTAGGGCCGTTCCCCAGTGTGGATGTGCTGGTGTCTAAGCAGGTTGAAGCTGTCCCTGAAGCTCTTCCCACATTCCCTACACGTGTAGGGACGTTCCCCAGTGTGGATGTGCTGGTGTCTGAGCAGGTTGAAGCTGTCCCTGAAGCTCTTCCCACATTCCAAGCACCTGAAGGGCTTCTCCCTGCTGGGAGGCTGATCAGGGACCACCAGCTCAGAGCTCCCCCTCAAGCTCCGGCCTTCCCGGCACAGGCTGGCTCTTTCCTCCTCAGAGCACCCTGGGATGGCTTTGGAGCCCCTCCTGCGGGGGGATCTCCAGCCCTTTTCCTCCCCGCTGCCTTCCTGCGCCGGGGAGCCCTTCAAAACGGCCTCTCCCACCAGGGTCTCACGGGGGGATTTGTCCTCCGGGCTCTCCCTCCTCACCTCGGGGCCTGGGGCAGGAAGCAAGAAGGACAGGAGGGGATTTGCCTCCGGCCCACAGGGAAGGCCAAGGACATCCCCCCAACTCCGGCCCCGGCAGGACGGCGGCGCCAGCGGGGTTGTCCTGCAGCCGGGGCCATGCTCGGCTGACAGAGCCAGCACAACACCCGCCCAAAGGGACACTGACTTCCTCCCCACCTGCCTGGGGGGACCAAGGCATCTTCCTCTTCCTCGCAGCCTCCTCCTCCATCCGACCAAGCTTTGGGAAGGACAAATCCTGATGGGGGGAAAACAAGGGCTGAGCGCGTTAGCTTGGGGGTTCCTCCTGCCCAAGTCCATCTCTAGAACTCACCGGGCATCCTGTGTCCATAAAAACCTCCAAAACACCAAGATCCAGCCCAGAAAAACCCAAACCACTGACATTCAGGCAAAAAACCCCTCAGAAATAGTGAGATGAACCCCTCACAAACTGCAAAAAGTTGAAATTCAGCTAAAAAATACTCCAAAATATCAAGATTCAACCAGAAAAACTCTTCCAGAAGTTCCCCCTCTCTGGGCTCTCCCCTCTGGGGTTCAGAGGGTCCCCCCTCTCTGGGAAGCTGGGGATCCCGCTGAGGGATGCTGGGAGTGTTGGGGGTCCCAAGAGTCCCTTCTCCTCTGACCCTCGCCTTCGGGGTGCCGCGTTCCAAGACATTCCCCCTCTCCAGGTTCTCCACCTTGTTGTCTTGGGAATCCCAGGGGTCCCCACTGTCCAGGTTTCCCCTTCTCTGCAACCCCTCTCCAGGTTCTTGGGGCTCTTGCAGCTCTCTCCTCTCTCCAGCCTCCCCCGCTCTCCAGGGATCAAGGCATGGGGACATCAAGGCTCCCCAACACGAACCCTGTATCCGCTCTCCCCCCTCCCCTCAGCCCCCCTCTCCCACCCTTTCCCATTGGTCCTCCAAACCCCCGCTCCCCCCAGCTCCCTTTGGGGGTGACCCACCGTCCCTCACGCTCCCTTTGGGGGTCCCACCCGCTCTTTTCGCTTCTCTCGCCCCTTTCCCATCGTGGCCGCTCCGCTCACCCGACAGCGGCAGGAAGGGCAGGGACAGGGGCGGAGCAGCAACAGCAACAGCAACAGAACAATCGTTCCCCCATCCCATGGATGCCCAGGAAGGTGGAACCTGTCCCAAATACCCTGGGGGAGCGCGGAGGTTCGGGCCATACTCGGGCTGCCAGCACAGATTTCCCTGCAAAGTCTGCAGGGAGTCAAGCTCTGCAGAGGAGATTGTGCCCCATGGATGGGATTGCAGAGGCTCCCTCAGGTCCCCAGCAGGAATCAGTAACCAAAAATATATACAAAAGGGCCCCCTGAAGATTTCGGGGGGAGTGTCCTGTAGGGAGGGGACAGTGTCACCCCACCAGGGCAGGGCTGGTAAGTGGGAGGCTGCTCCAGGGCTCTGCAAGAGGCCTCGTGCTCTGCTCGGCCCCAGCAGTGCCTGGTACCAACACCCCCGGCTGAAGACCCAGCCCTGGGCAGTTCCTGCCAGAACAGCCCCACCCCACCTGGCTCCAACCTCCTGGCAGGGACTTGCAGACAGTCAGGAGGTCTCCCCTGAGCCTCCTCTTCTCCAGCCTCAACACCCCCAGCTCCCTCAGCCTCTCCTCACACCACTTGTGCTCCACTCCCTTCCCCAGCCTCGCTGCTCTTCTCTGGATCCTCTGACCCCAAAAATGCTCCCCCTCCCATAGAAAGGCCAAGGACATCTGGGGACAGTTGGGGGGCTTTGTGGGGCACTGGGTGATTACTGGGGGATACTGGGACACACTGGGGGGAACCAGAGAGCATTGGGAGGGACTGGGGGGTTACTGAGGGACACTGGGAGGGCACTGGGAGGGACTGAGGGGGAACTGGGGCACACCGGGGGGCACTGGCAGAGAACTGAGGAGTTACTGGGGGATACCAGGACAACGGGGGGACACTGGCAGGTTACTGGGCCATACTGGGGCTTACTGGGTGCTCACTGCAGGATCACTGGGCCATCCTGGGGGATAGTGGGAGGTCAGTGGGACACACTGGGTGGTCACTGAGGGGGTTACTGGGCCATACTGAGGGTAACTGGGAGGTCACTGGGATATACTGGGGGCACTGGGATCCCCTTACCCAGATGTGGTACATCTCCCCCTCCCGATTTTGGAGGGCATCCCTAGGTCCCCTCCCCTGGGGGCTGGGGGACCCCTTGAACCTCATTGCTGGGTTTTAGGGGACCCCCTAAAATCCCCTCAAACCCCCTGAAATCCCCCCCTCAACCCATCGAAACCTCCTCAAGGGCCCCTCATCCCTCCCCAGCACCCCCTAAACCCTCTCAGTGACCCGCAAAACCCACCTGAGACTCCCCAAGCCCATTCAGGGACCCCCAATCCCCCCCCCCAATCCCCCCCACGGGCCCTCCAAACCGTCTGGGACACCTTAAACCCCCCAGAGACCCCAAAACTACCTCGAAGGTCCCCGCAAAGCCTCCCAGGAACCCCAAACCTCCCCAGAGACCCCCAAAGCCCACCTGGGACACCCCAAATCTTCTCAGAAAACAAAACCCGCATCAGAGCCCCCCAAAACTCTTCAGGGACCTTCAACCTCCCCCTCGAGTCTCTTCAGGGACCCCTTAAAACGTCCCCGGGAACCCCCGAACCCCCCCGCTAAACCCTCCCGAGCCCTCCAGCCTTTCCACCCACACCCGCGCTCCCCGCAGCCCCCGAGGGGATCCCCAGACCCCGCTCTCGCCGCCCCCCCGCCAACTCACCCAGCGAAGTGCAGCGGCCGCAGGCGAGTCCTGCTCACTCCCGACCACGAGGCCAAAATGGCGCTCGCTCCGCGCGCCCTCCGCCTTTACAGCCCCGCCCCGCAGCCAATCAGCGCGCGGCCACGGCCCCTGCCCGCCCTTCGCCACGCCCCCACCTGCGCGGTGCATTGTGGGAGTTGTATTCCCTGCGGCGGGGGAGGACCGGACTTGTTGGGTTTTGGTTTTTCTGTCTTCTTTTATTTTCTCTTTTTTCTTTCTTTCTTTTCTTTCTTTTTTTTCTTTCTTCTTTCCTTTTTCTCTTTTTTTTTCTTCCTCGTTCTTCTTTTTTTCTTTGTTCTTTTTTTTTCAATTTTTTTCCTGTTTTTTCTTTCTTGTTTTCTCTTTTTTTCTCCTTTTTCTTTTTTTCCTTTCTTTTCTTTGTTTTTCTTTTTCTTTTTTTTTTCCTTTTTTTTTCCTTTTCTCCGTTTGGGGGAGACAGTACGGGTCGCGCAGTTGGACGGACAAGCAGGGTACTGGCAAGGAAAAGGGAAACACGAGCAAAACAATCGCCAGGTACTAGCTAGACAACAAATGAATTAATCTGCGGCGCATTGTTCCAGGTGTGGGTGAGGAGTCCCAATCCAACAAACACTGAGACACCAAGGGTGGAAGTGAAGCCACTTTATCCTGTCCCTTGCCACAGCCTTCAATCCACACCCAGCCCTGGATTTCTGCAAAGCCCCTGGGCAGGAGCAGGAGATGGAGCTGGTGCTCGGCGGGAGGGGCAGCAACAACAAACCCGTGTCTTTGGCACAGGGGAAGGAATTTAGTGCTTGAGGGGTTACATTCCACAGGCTCCCCTGGGGATCAGCTCATGCTCGGACAGTGAGAACAGCAAGAACATTCCTAATAAAAATGGCAGAGGGAAGGGAGCGGAGGGGGAGCAGGGGCAGGAAAAGGAAGCAGAGTGATGGAAGATGGGCTGGGGCGGTCGGGGCTGGGGGAAGGCAGGCTGGACAATGCCTTGTTTGGTCCAGCAGCTGGACCAGCTCCAGGGCAGATGTCGGGGGAGCCGCTGCCACAGGGACATGGACAAACAGACGCTACAAAAGCTCTCAGAGGGGTTGGGGGCTCTGGGCGGGGCTGCGCTCTCGCCTCAAGCCAGGATATCCCAGGGCAGTGGAACAGCAATTCCTGTCAGCTCCCAGCAAAGATTATTGGGCTTTGCACTGGGCAAATATTGACGCTCCAGCTTCTTCTTCTCTTTTTAGAACTTTGAGCTTGCAGTCGGGTAGAAGGGCTGGTGGGGGAGTGGGAAGAGACCCACTGAGGGGCACATCTCATCCCTCAGTTAGATGGAGCTAAACCCCTGATCTTGCTTAGGAAGAGCTGCTGATGCTCAGTTGTCTTCTTTCCCTTCTGCTTTAGTGGGATATTACATTTCCCTGCAGTATTGGTGATAGAAGGGTATGTCAGCTGGAATGGTTTGGTTCTTACAGAAAGCATAAATGCATTTTAAGGAAGGTATTTTTACATAGGTGAGGCCTCCAAAAAAAACCCCAAATCCCCAAAGGTAATATAGGTGCAGAATAGAGTGAACTTTGGAGTTTTCTTTTTAATTCTTGGGTAGAAAAGCCATCCCAGTTAGGGACAGCAATTTATTGCATTGCTGAAAAAAACAAAACCAAAAAAACATAAAAAAAAGAAATCTGACTTTGTTCTCTTTCAGATTTGTTTTTGATCATAAGAATCCTTCTAGTGAAAAGGGCTAATTTACTCTTTCTAGAGGAATATTTTAAGTGTGATTATCACAATATCACAGCTGCTGAAAAGGTCTAAAATAGGACATTGACCTTGAACCCGTTCCTGCGTTTAGGATGTGGTGCTTAACATTCAAGAAACAATAGAACTGCACCTCATTTATTAAGGTATCATCTCAAAGTGTCAACTCTTGCTCTGTAAAGACATGCCACAAGGATTGTAGAAAGCTTGCAGTATCCCAGGAAGTACATGTGGTATTTTATCAGTGTAAATATATGTAAGATTTTCAAGATTTCTTCCAGGAATACTCCATAACTAAAGTAAGTTTTCCCTTTGGTGCTGCACTAGTTTATGATTTAATTGTTACTGACATTCCACCAGTCACCTTATTAGCTTCACCAAAGGAAAGGAAATAATCCTGTATTAATTAAAGAGAGCAACTGAATTCCCTCAGTCACCTTATCCTTGGCTGTCTGGGACAGGAATGCACTTCAGCTTCCCTACAGAAACTTCCACTAAAAAAGAGCTTGAGGTGATAGTGAGAGATCCATATTGAAGGGTGTGCCTGAATTATCTTTAGGGAGGAGACCTTTTTTGGTGTGTCACTCCTCTCTGGAGTTTTTTTCCCTTTCTTTTTGTCAGAGGCTTTGGAAAAGGTGCTTTGTCAAGAGAATAATATTCATTTATAGCCATGTGAACGGTTTCTATCCTCTACCAGTGAAGGCACTCACCTAAATACCCATACCCATGCCCTTGAAAATAAAACAAGGAGAAAATATGGAGTATTTGTTTGAGACCAGATAAACTGAAGGTAGTTCAGTAACATGGAAAGGGAATTGCTGTTATTTCACAGAGACATTTCTTTGTATGCTGGAACTGAGGGGAGCAGCAAAAGCTAAAAGCCTTGCTCTGTGTCTTTGTGAACACACTGTGGGTAAGTTCAAAGGAGCATTCAGAGATTGTGTTGTGTGAACCTTTTTCCCTCAGATCAAAACAAGGAGTAATTAATGATAAATCCAGCAGATGGCTTTCAAGGAATAATTTGGTCCAGTTTGTCCAACTGTGTCCAAACAGGTGAGGAAAATCTGGAACTTTAGAAGGGTTAGTTTTTTACCTCATTAGCAGGATATCCAGGGGTGCACCAAGTGCCTGCCAGTGAGGAGCACAAGAGATGAGGAGACAGTGACAATATTGTTCTAATGTTAATCTCACTGGAGCACAGAGTGAGATCACTTCTGAGTTATGTTTCTTTAATTAGTGATTGGGAATAAAGAGGAAATCACATAGTTGATGACACTTTAGGATTTATTTCACACTCTTAACACTAAGGTATTTTGCAGCTGGACTTTGAATAAGGTTCCATGGTATATTGCAAATTTCTATCTCAACAATCTACTTCTTCCCAAAGAAATTCTCAGCAGCTAACACCCTTTCATCATCTGGCTCTTTCCCTGATGCCTTGAGCTTGTTGCTCCTTTGGGTAAATACCCATTTGACACAATGCACTGGGCAGCTTCTGCCAAGTGCCACTGAATCTCACTTCTTCCCTTGCCTTGAGGTAGCTGTGCTTTAAGAATCTGACTGTTCAGATGCCCTGAAATGTCTCTAGTATTTCAATGGGAAGAAGCTTCAAGATGTGCTGTTTGGCACACAGGAAAAATGACCTGCCCAGAGAGCCATGGAAATGTAGGTGCAGTCAGTGATGCCCCTTGACTGGGGCACTGCTGAGGATGTTTTCCTTCCCCTCTCTGATTCCATTCCCACTGTTTTGTACAGACTCCTTGGGGTCAGATTTTGCACTGTACAGTTTGAGAAGTTAGTGCAGATGTGTGTTTGCAGGCATGTTCTTCTTCTGTATTCCCTGATCAAATTCAGTAAACTGATACCTGGCTTTTTTTCCCCCCATAGTACTATTTTTATTTATTTCTATAGAACAGCTGGAGAAAATGAAGGTACACTTAGCCCCAGTTCACTTGCTGCTGTAATCTCTTGACCTTTTTTTCTTTTCCCTTCCCCCAAACTGATGGGTAACTGTGAAACCCAAGGTCAGGAATGTGGTTGGAATTCCAGGCCCCAGTCTGGGGGAGGGGACACTTTCAGCCCCCAGGGGAAGAAGCCACTGCTTTGTTTATCAACATGCAAAGGACAGCCCAGGATTTCTGGCTCTCCAAGCAGCAGCACTGGCAGGGAAGAGCTGCTGGCTTGGATGGAAGATGGTTGAGAGAAAAGTAGTGATGGCTCAGAGGGGGAGAGGAAAAATGTGTTATTTAGGGGTGTAAAGTGGGAGGGATGACAAGCTAACAAGGTAGTGGCACTGGCCTGCAAGGCCCAGAAGCCACCAGAGCCCAGGGGAGCAGAGCCTGCTGCCAGAGCTGCTGACAGGGCTGGGCTGCAGGGCAGCTCTCACTGCCCAGTGCCCATCTCAGGGCTCACGCTCCCACATCAGCCATACCATGGCAGGGAAGCACAGAAGGTTCTCCACCAGCTCAAATGGCCCTGGTGAGGGAGCACGGAATCCCAGAGTGATGGAATCCCAAAAGAGTTTGGGTTGGAAGGGACCTTTCGAGGCCATCTGGTCCAACCCTCCTGCCATGGGCAGGGACATCTGCCACCAGACCAGCTTGTTCCAGGAGTCACCCCGAGTGGGGGACATGGGCCAGTGCCCGCTGCCAGCAGCAGGAATCCGGGCAGGGCGAGGGTCCCTTGGGCTCTCCGATGGCCCAGGGGAATGCCATGAGGATGGGAAGCAAAGCCTGGAGCACTTGGAGGTCCAAAGCCTCAAACATCAGCCCCTCCGGCTCCCAAACCTTCTCCCAGATCCCTCTGGCTGCAGCAGGAAGGGCAGCAGGAGGTTTCCTGCCCGCTGTGGGGGCAGCTCTGCAGGGGCCACTTGTGTCAGACCCCCCTCTCTGCTGGGGACAGCTTTCTCTTGGGGACACCGCTCTGCCCCAGCCCAGGGACACCAGCACTGCCCAGGGCCGGCACCTTCCCAAGTGGGACCCCTCTGAGCACAGGTCCCCCCACCCCCAGGGACCCGTGTCTTTATAAAAACATCTATAAAATGTATTTACATTGTACGGGCCTGTAAAACAACAACAATCTATGAAATGCATTTACAGAACAACAACAAAGCAACAACATATAAACCACATATAGAATGTATTTACATGGGAAGAATCTTTAGAAAAGCAAAACTCTTCTTTCTAAGAACAACACTCTATAAATCTTATTTAGAGACCAACAACAAAAGAGCAGCACATCAAATGTATGCACAGGAGATTCACATCCGTGTCCGGTCTGTCTGCCAGTCCTGGAAGAAAAGCCAGGATGGAGCCTGGCTGGGGCTGGGAGCTGGATCTGGCAGGATGCTGGGGGGGGTCTGTGGGGCTGGGAGGGATCTGTGGGGGGGTGGTGTCTGTGGAGCTTTT